GGCAGAGGCATGATGGGACTTGTAGTTTCACAACAGCTGGAGGGCCACCAGTTTGACACCCCTGCAGAGTGTGCACCTGTCTCTATCCAGAGCACTAAGTGTTGTTTATTTCTGCTGCCTTGTTTCTCTCCTATCTGCATGAGTCACCTCTGACAGGTTTTCCTAACACTAAGAGAAAAAAGTTGACAAGGGAGGGATCTCCAGCACACAGCCTGCGATTGACAGCCTCAGTTCTGTTCCTGTGAGGTCTGTGGAGGGGGATGTGTCCCTTCCTTCCAATCAGCTCTCAGAGCTCTCCTCACTGAGCTCTGCACTGTGTGACTTCAGTTTTCCACCCCTGTTTTCTGACAGCTCAGACAAGCTGTAAAAATTCTGGATTTGACCAGACATACAGAAGAGATGACTGCAGATAAACAGGTACAACTTATGTAGGAGGATTTGCTGCACATACTCACACCTCAACTACTCCCTTCAGTTGCCATTCGTGGAGAGTCCCATGTAAATTATGACTTCGAGCTTACATAGGGCTGAGGGCTGAGTCAATGACCAAGCTCTAGTTTTCTTGCATGGGGGAAAAGGGTTGAGTTCCCCAATAGCTGGATGTTCCTAGGTTCTAGCAGTTTAACAGAGTATTGGGCGAACAAAGGAAATGTGGGTATATGCAGTTGGAGAGGGCAGCATGGACAGCACAGAGCATCCATGAGTATGGCCAGAGTGGTAACCAGGGACCTTTGACAACTACAGTTATGTTCAAAATAATAGCAGTCAGACATCACTAACCGGATCAATCACTGTTTTTGGTAGAAATGATATTTCTACATGGCAAATAATTTACTAGCAGGTGTAGTAGAGTAATAGAAATCCAACAGAACCAACAGTCATGACATGCATGCTGCTGATTCTGTAATTATAATTGAATCAATCATGTGAAAGGGGCATTCATTTCTGAAAAAAAATAATAGCAGGTGTGTGGAGTTCTATTAGTGAGGTCATTCATTCTTTGAAAAACAGGTGGCAACTCTGCCTTGGTACACTGTTGTGTTTCTCCTGGGCCCTGTTTCCTGTTCCTGTTCCTGTCTGACTTCTCTTATTGCCCTTATTTAAGGAAGGAAGGCAGCAAATGTTGTACATGCTGGTTACAGTTGCATTTCTCTCTGAAATTCTGAGAAAAATGGGTCGTTTCCAGACATTGTTCAGAAGAACAGCGTACCTTGATTTGAAAAAGTTGATTGAGAGGAACAGGTACCTTGATGAAAAACATATAAAGAAGTGCAGAAAATGATCGGCTGCTCAGCTAAAATGATTGCAAATGCTTTAAAATGGCAACCAAAACCTGAAAGACGTGGAAGAAAGCGAAAAACTACCATTCGAATGGATAGAAGAATAGCCAAAATGGCGCGGACTCAGCCAACAATCAGCTCCAGGAAGATGAAAGAAGGTGTAAAGTTCCCTGTGAGGACTGTTACAATTAGAAGACGCCTATGTGAAGCCAAGCTATCTGCAAGAAGCCCCCGCAAAGTCCCACTGTTGGAAAAAAGACGTGCTGAAGAGGTTACAATTTGCCAAAGAGCACATTGACTGGCCTAAAGAGAAATGGCGCAACATTTTGTGGACTGATGAAAGTAAGATTGTTCTTTTTGGGTCTAGTGGCCGGAGACAGTTTGTCAGACGACCCCCAAACACTGAATTCAAGCCACAGTACACTGTGAAGACCGTGAAGCATGGTGGTGCAAGCATCATGATATGGGGATGTTTCTCATACTACGGTGTTGGGCCTATTTATCGCATACCAGGGATCATGGATCAGTTTGAATACATCAGAATACTTGAAGAGGTCATGCTGACTTATGCTGAAGAGGAAATGCCCTTGAAATGGGTGTTCCAACAAGACAACGACCCCAAACACACCAGAAAACGTGCCACATCTTGGTTCCAGACCAACAAGATTGACATTATGGAGTGGCCAGCCCAATCCAATAGAAAACTTGTGGGGTGACATCAAAAATGCCGTTTCTGAGGCAAAACCAAGAAATATAGAACTGTGGAATGTAGTCCAATCATCCTGGGCTGGAATACCTGATCACAGGGGCCAGAAGTTGGTTTACTCCATGCAACACAGATGTACAGCAGTTCTCAGAAACAGTGCGACTACAACCAAATATTCATTAAGGATTCAAAGGAAAGCAAAATCTTCAAACATTTTTCAGTTTATATAGTGAATGTTTGAGTTTGTAAAGAAGAATACAAACACTGCAATTTTTTTGAACAGTCTAATATTCACTTTTCTTCAATTTTTTTAGAGGAACAACACAAATTTGATCTATTTTTCTTCATGTTTTGATTTGGAATAGAATGTGTCGTGTTCCCAATGCATTTGTGTGGATGGAAATAAAAGCTATTAGAAAGATTTTGAGCTTTATTCACTTTTTTTCACCACACGGCTATTATTTTGAACATAACTGTATGTCTATGGTATGTAGCAATTTTCTATACAAACAGTTGAGTACATTTCACTCAACCATAAACATTTTGCATTTCAGCATCCTCACGGTACATATCATACCCTGCTGAGTGTTCTGATTCTCATCCTAGAAGCGGATCAAACACTCGGCATGTAGGCTTCGTCCCTTGGGTGACTTGAAGTTCAAAAGGTTCATGTTTGACTGTAGTGTGCTGATTTTAAAGAGCTGCTCCAAGTGGCAGTTAGTGAGCTCAATATTCTGTCCAAGACACAAACTTACTGTAACTCTGGTCGCCATTATTTTAATATGCTATATGTGTTATTACTTATTTACCTTTTTCTTTTTTCTACTACATAAATAATGACCCAAATGTTTTAGGTGTTAGTACAGCTTGCTCTGCACTTCCACCCCCTGACTGCCACCAACTGTTGAGCTGGTGTCAGCCAGGAGGCAGGAGTAGAGCACAAGCTGTACTAACAGACTTGTGTAACTATCAGAAAAACATTCACTGGGGAGGTAAGTAGATAATAACGTGCACTTATTTAAAAAATGGTGCCCAGAGTTCAGCGTCAAACTGTACAAGGGTTAAATGCTTGTTCTATCTAGGGCAACCATTCTCAGCTGGGGTTCCTCCATAGACTGCAATGGGTTCCTTGAGCTGTGGCTGATTGATGTCTCACCTGATGGTGCCCTCATAGTTCCAAGTCCAACCCTACTTGGCAGAGCCAGCAGTATGACACCAAGGATCTTTTTATCTGTCTCTGATCACCATTTTAAGAGGAGCATTTTTCCCACCGACCACCCATGTACAGGACATTCCTTCATCTGACCAAATTATTTCATTTTAGCAGAGGTTCCCTAATACTTGAAAAATATTTAAAGGGTTCCTCTTTGGTAAAAATGTTTGAGAAAGGTTGGGCTAGAGCAGGGTGTCTTTAAACTTTTTAAACAAAGGGCCAATTTATTGTTCTTGATGCTTGGTGGACTGTGGTTAGTATGGGTAGAAAAATGTTGTAGCATCAGTGGGAGTAAACAATGCCCCATCATTGGTATTAAAATGAGGAATAGTGGCCCATTGTTGGTTTTAGCAGTAGGAATAGTGCCCCATGGTTGGTATCAATGGGAGGAATAGTGCCCCATTGACAGTCTCAGTTTGAGGAATAGTGCCCCATTAATGGATATCTCCAAATATCACCCAAGCCATTCTCTCCGCTCCTCACAAGACCTTCTGCTATCTAGTTCCCTTGTCTCCTCCTCCCATGCTCGTCTTCAGGACTTCTACAGAGCTTTCCCCATCCTCTGGAACTCTCTACCCCAATTTATCAGACTACTCTGCTCACTTTTAGGCGATCTCTGAAAACCTATCTCTTCAGGGAAGCCTATCCTGCCCTTAGGTAATAATGGAATCTTCTACTCTTCCTACCAGTCCATCCCCCACAGTTACTACCTCTTGTACCACTAACCCCCCCTCCTAGATTGTAAGCTCCAAGGAGCAGGGCCCTCCTATCCCTCTTGTATTGAAGTGTATTGTTACTGTATTGTCTCCCTTTATACTGTAAAGCGCTGAGCAAACTCTTGGCGCTATATAAATCCTGTATAATAATAATAATGGTGTCAGAGGAGTAATGATGCCTCATCATTGGTGCCAGTTGGAGTATAGTGTCCCAAGGGCCAGATAGAGGCAAGCAAAGGGCCGCATCTGGCCCCCAGGCTGCAGTTTGAAGACCAATGGTCTAAAGCAGCATTTCTCAACCATTTTACCCCAAAGGAACCCTTGTAATAATTTTAGGCTCTCAAGGAGCCCCTGCTAAGATTATTCCATTGGTTGTAATTAGGAAAATGCCCCTTACATTGGTGGTGGTCAGTGGAAAGGATGTTCCCCTCACAGTGATGGTCAGAACATCACTGTTATGGTCATGTCTCTGGCTCTGAAAGTGGTGTTAGACCTGAAACTAAGCTGGAAAGTGAGTTAGCCACAGCTCAAGCAACTCATAGCCACCTCTTTAGGAACCCTAGGGTTTCACAAAACCCTGGTTGAAAATGACTGGTCTAGAAGGAGTGGAAAAAGGAGCAATACTTATCTTATTTCTTGTTCCCCCAGCAGCTGGCGCTCTCCTCTTCTCTCGGTATATGATCCAGTCCTTCTGATCCTCACATACAATTCACGGTTTGAAGATGTCGAAGAAAACATGACCAATCTAGCAGCAAAAAGAGGTGGCTTCATAGCATTGGTCGTACAATAGAGAGGTAGCTGGAAGGAGGGAGGAATATGGAAGTATTGCTGCTTATTCCTTGCCCCCCTAGACAAAATGAGCAATTAGCCCTTGCAGCATGGAGAGTCCACTGGAATAGGACTTTTTACAGCTGACTGGAGTTCAGCCTTATATATTTTATACCGAACTGAATGAGACTTAGTTTGCTAAATCACTTTGTACTGTAAGCAATTGCCATCATGTTTCCTCATTAAGTACATCTCATTGTTACTGATCTCTTGCAGGCTCTTTGCAGTCATTTCCCATCTACATTCACTCCAACCAGGGGCAGACTGACCATTTGGAAACTCGGGCACTGCCCGAGGGCCCGGGGTCAGTAGGGGGCCCCATGAGATGCCCCTGGTACCTTTTTCATAGGCTTTATTTAGTTTGGGCAAGGACACAGGGGCCCCATGATCCCCTATTGCCCGGGGGCCCCATGAGTTGTCATTCCGCCCCTGACTCCAACGATGGCTGCCTGGCAAACCTTAGGGTGGGTTTCCTGATGGTGACAACAGTGAATCATAACCGCGTGATGCGTGTTGAAATGGTCACCTGTAGCCTCCAATGTAAACCTGTGAGAGAGCGACAACACAGGACAACTTTTTGAGACAGAGACAGAGCGTTGTCACCCTACAACAGGAAATGCCTGAAGAAAGTCCTTCACGGCAGGATCACCAGGGATTATTTTAATGTAAACTGCAGATATAAACAAGTTGAACAGTACTTTTAAAGCTACATGCACATGTTTCTCTGAGATTTTAGTGATTGGGTTTACTTTTACTATTAAGGCCGTCCTGATGTATACATTATTGGAGTTGGGTTATATACCAGGGTATGTAAACTTTTGATCCGGGCCATTTGTGTAATTTCTGTTATCATTATGATTTAAAAAGGAGCCAAACAACTATTGGAAAATAAATGGCTTCATATGATCATCATCCTTCAATAAAAGAGCATTTTTTGGCATGATCAGTCATATTTTCAATATCAATGCCAAAATTTCCCAATTTCTGCCAGGGTATGCAAATTTTTGAGCACAACTGTATATTTCCTTATTTCCTGGTATTAGCCATGATTTCTGATTCTTGCATACAGTTGACTGTAGAAACAAATTCAAGGGTTAATGAGGAGCCGAATGTTTTTGTTTTTACACAAGAGGCCTAAGTTGTGTTAGCCCTGAGTCTATAAAGATAACGGTACCAGGCCGCCAGCCTCTATTGATCAGGCCTTGTTTAAACATTGATTTATCCCGGCTGCAGCTTCCAGAGGGCACATTGCTCCCATTTACAGAAAATGATGGGGGAGGGAAGTGCTGGGTCCAGTTACACAACAACCCCCTATTCCTGACATGTGATCGCAGCCCTGGGAATACAGAGGGCTGTATACACTTAGCATCCCTTTAAATTATCATAAATATCATGTCTACTACTAATAGTTTCATATACCATTAGGCATGAGTAATGTCCTTAGTTCTGAAAAAATTAGTCAAATATTGGCAAAATTTGTCTGATATAATTTCCAATGTTCTTTACTTCCCATTGGGCTTGGACTGGCCAACTTGCAAAAATTTTATTTTTCATGAGGGTGGCATGCCTTTGAACATTCATAGGCTGGCAGGATTTATTTATTATTTCAGGTACTTATATAGCGCCGTCAATTTACACAGCTCTTTAAATATATATTGTACATTCATATCAGTCACTAACCCTCAAGGGGCGTACAATCTAAGGTCCCGAACGTTCATTCATATACATACTAGGGCCAATTTAGACGGAGCCAATTCACCTACCAGCATGTCTTTGGAGTGTGGGAGGAAACCCCATGCAGGCATGGGGAGAACATGCAAACTCCAGGCAGGCAGAGGTGCCGTGGTTGGGATTCAAACCAACAACCCTAGTACTGCCAGATACCATTTAAATATATATTGTACATTCACATCAGTCCCTAACCCTCAAGGGGCGTACAATCTAAGGTCCCGAACTTATATTCATATACATACTAGGGCCAATTTAGACAGAGCCAATTCACCTACCAGCATGTCTTTGGAGTGTGGGAGGAAACCCATGCAGACACGCAGGAGGTGCCGTGGTTGGGATTCAAACCAAAAACCCTAGTACTGCCAGATACCATTTAGCCACTGTAATCAGGAGAGGACTAGGTATCTTTGGCTTAGGGGGGGCAAAGCAACCAACAGGCCCTTTCATGTAAGGACAGATTTATGTGGTCTGAAGAACGTGCACCATGCAAGGTGTGCCATGGTGCTTCAGTGGCTTGTTGACACAGTAAAGGTAGATGTGCCTAAAGGACATGGTTGTATTATGTCAGGCCTTCCAGCAATACTTTCTTCCTGCTCCATCTTCCAACAAGGTTCAGGTCTTCTGTCCAGAGGTCAAACACTGTCTTGACTCAGAGACAACAGCTTACCTTTTCTTCTGCTTTATCCTCTAATCAGTAAGAGCAACGCCTTGTAACCTAATATTTCCTAAGGTTCATAGCACCATCCAGGTACTCCAGAGCATGCTTACTGAATACTAGAGTTCGACTCATCAGTGGATACCCAAAGAACACAGTATGCAGTTAACAAACACATCAGCTGTCCAGGAGTGGCTGGACAGTTGAAGTTGAAAATTATGGCATCCCTGGGTGGACCTCAACCATCAACCTTTTGTACCATAGAAACAAACGTCACATCCTTCCTGTAACTGATTCCACTTGGTGAGTACACAACTCTTTGGCCCCTAAAGGTTGATGAGGTCCAAACCATGCTCTGCTCATCTGTCTATGAATCCTACTTTTTGGACAGAAAACCCTTTGTGTTGTGCACCTAGGCATGCAGACTGCTTCTACAAACATTGGTGAAAGAATGGGTCGCTCTCAGGAGCTCAGTGACTCCAAGCATGGGCCTGTGATAAGTTGTCACCTGTGTAATAAGTCCATCCGTGACATTTCCTGGCTACTAAATATTCCACACTCAACTGTTAGTGGGATTATAACAAAGTGGAAGCAACTGGGAACAACAGAAACTCAGCCACCAAGTGGTAGGCCACTTCACATGACAGAGCCGGGTTAGCGCATGCCGAAGCACACAGTGCGTAGAAGTCACCAACTGTCTGCAGAGTCAATAGCTAAAGACCTCCAAACTTCGTGTGGCCTTCAGATTAGCACAACAACAGTGTGTAGAGAGCTTCATGGAATGGGTTTCCATGGCCGAGCAGCTGCATCCAAGCCTTACATCACCAAGTGAAAAAGGGTCGGATGCAGTGATATAAAGCACGCCGCCACTGGACTCTAGAGCAATGGAGACGTGTTCTCTGGAGTGACCAATCATGCTTCTCTGTCTGGCAATCCGATGGATGTGTCTGGGTTTGGTGGTTGCCAGGAGAACGGTACGTGCCTGACTGCATTGTGCCAAGTGTAAAGTTTGGTGGAGGGGAGATTATGGTGTAGGGGTTTTTTTCAGAGGTTGGGCTTGGCCCCCTAGTTCCAGTGAAGGGAATTCTTATGGCGTCAGCATACCAAGACCTTTTGGACAATTTCATGCTCACAACTTTGTGGGAACTGTTTACGGATGGCCCCTTCCTGTTCCAACATGACTGCACCCAGGGCACAAAGCAAGGTCCATAAATACATAAATGAGCGAGTTTGGGGTGGAGGAACTTGACTGGCCTGCCTGAGTTCATTCAACCTGGTAGAGGGCCAAACTCGATGATGGGACCAGTGAGTCTAGGGGGCCAATGCCAGAAAGAAGGTGGATATTGTAGTGAGTGCTGTGTTCCTATTTTAACCCCTTATTGGCTATATTTGAATACAGCCTTTCTCAACCCCAGAGGAACCCGTGAAACAATTCTCAGGTCTCAGAGAATCCTTCCAAAAACCAATTATTATTATTATTATTATACAGTATTTATAAAGCGCCAATAGTTCACTCAGCGCTGTACATTACAAAGGGGGACAGAACATGTGACAGAACAATACCAATACAATGTGATACACGAGGGGTTCGAGGGCCCTGCTCTTTCGAGCTTACAATCTAGGAGGGATCATTAGTGGACAGTGGGAAAAATGCCTCTCACATTGGTGGCTAGTGCCACCTTATGGTGGTGGACCAAATGCCACCTTTACAGATATCTAAAAAAGGTCATTGGTGCCAGACGGTTGGCTCTGACAAGTAGCATTGACCTTTGATCTATGGAGGCACATCAAATGGGAAGTCAATCAGCCACAAGCTCAAGGAACCTCTGGAGGAACCTTAGAGCTCCATGGAACCCTGGTTGAGCTTTGTTGGTATAGATTGTAGAGATTTATCTTAATGTTTGTAAAACTCCTCTAAGGCTTGCTGTGCCTATAGATGGTCTATAAATCCCAGCTTCCCCATTTATATTACTGTCCATATGTTCCCGGGCAGCAGTGTGTGTGCTCAGCTGGGTCTGCACATCCCCATAACCACAGAGTGCACATTATCATTTATTTATTACCTTTCATTCAGTATTGATGAGCTGGATGAGTTAAAGAGCCCCAGCTCGCTCTGTCAACAGATGGCTTCAAGGCAGCAAATGACCACATCCTGCGCCGTCCTGGGGTCGGACCCATGTGAAGGTTCAGTGGGGGTTGGGGATGGGTGGTGGGAGAGATGACCTTACACCATCATCACAACTTCTTCAAATTAATCAGACAAGATTGGAGACATCTGGGAGCATGCCTGAACGACTTTTCTGAATTCTAGTGATAATGTCAAATCACTTGTCAATTAGAGGCAATTGTGGGGTCAGGCGGGCAGTCACGAAATACTCCTGAGAGCGTTAATCCTTGGAAGGCCTTAAAAGGGTGCTCCACCTTCTGCTGTACTGGATTGTTTGTATCATGATGAAACGTTTGATAAATACTGTAACCTAACTAAGGGCCCATTTACACTGTTGCATTTTAACACATGAATGTCAATTCGTGGATCGCCATAATAAAAATAGTGTTTGTTCCCAGCCCGGGTCTGCAGTGCATTTTGAAATATACAAAATGTCTGTGTTTTTCTGTTTCAGTGCGTTGGCAGGCCCATAGAATGGCAGGGCATCAAGATGAATATAAAATAGACAACTATTTAATGCTGCATATAATGCACCTCAAAGCACTCATGTACTGTAGATCTAAAGGGGCCCTGAGGGTTATTAAACATTTTAAATTGTAAAAAAAAAACCCAAAAATATATATAAATATATATATATATATATATATACATATATATACATACAGACAGGGGCGGACTGACAACTCCTAGGGGATCATGGGGCCCCTGTGTCCTTGCCCAAACTCAAAAAAGCCTATGAAAAAGGTACCAGGGGCATCTCATGGGGCCCCCTACTGACCCCTTGGGCAGTGCCCGAGTTTCCAAATGGTCAGTCCGCCCCTGCATACAGACATACACACAATCACTGGCCACTTAATTAG